GCTCATGGAGCACTCTCCTGTGTGGCTCATGGAGCACTCTCCTGTGCAGCTCATGTAGCACTCTCCTGTCTAGCTCTTGGAGTACTCCCCTGTGTGGCTCATGGAGTACTCCCCTGTGTGGCTCATGGAGCACTCTCCTGTGCAGCTCATGGAGCATTCTCCTGTCTGGCTCATGTAGCACTCTCCTGTCTGGCTCATGGAGCACTCTCCTGTCTGGCTCATGGAGCACTCTCCTGTGTAGCTCTTGGAGCACTCTCCTGTGCAGCTCTTGGAATACTCCCCTGTTGTCTCTTGGAACACTCTTGCAGGCTGTTAGGATTGCTTTGCCTAAGACTCATTTGTAGCTACCACATCTTCCATTCTCTGGTTTCAGGCTGTTTTCTTCCTGTGTCGCTTGCCCTCGGGTTTGTGAAGTGGAGCTGCAGTCTGGGTGTTGCTCATCTGTCTCATCTTTAGGTCCTGTGACCGAGTTACCTCTCTGTGGAGTGTCCTTTTCTTAGGAGTTGGGTATGGTTAGGAATTAGGCTTTTTTGAGGAGGTGTGGGTTGTTAATATGATACAGACTAGCCGGGGGGTTCAAACTGACACTCTTCTTCTGTGACAAGTTGGCAGACGTGAGCCAGCATCCCCATGTGAAATGCTTTTAAAGATGGAATCATGACGGTAGTGGAAGCGCTCATGTTTGGTCCCAGCACTTGGGAAGGAGAGGCATGCAGGTCACTGTGAGTCTACGTAGTGACTCACAGGTCCCAGTCTGTGTCATAAGTTCCAAAAAGATGTATATATGGGATGGCGGTGAGGAGGACTAGTCTAGGTGTGTGTGTAGTTCCCACCCTGTGGTACTGTCTCTGTTCACTGGGACACTGGTGGCACAGACAAGAAATGTGCATTTTGTTAAGCTCCTGGGGCTTTTCAGAGTAACCTAGCCAGTTTCTAGAGTGTGGCCTGCACACCCCAAGAGAGCCCACTTCAAGGAGTCAATGAAGTCCAAATTACTTTTGAAATAACACTTAAACCATGTTGGCTGTGTTCAGCTGTGGTGACACTTGCCCCAGCAGTAACTGGTCGTGGTGGAAAGTGTTCTCAGCACACTAGGGCAGGAGCCATAGCATTTCCTCTAGAACAGATCTTTCTCCTGTTGCCTGGGCAGATAGAGCAGCTGGCTCACTGAGAAGGAGGCAAGGGAAATGACTGGTTGAAAGCTCTTGTCTGCTCTGTGCTGAGGTACAAGCTAGGCAGCCTGTGGTGCCTTCTGCATACTGAACTCTGGCTGACAGTAGAGTTACTAGCTAAACTAGCCAGCCCCGCCCCTCCTCCCTTTCTCACCTAGAAGAGTGAGTAGTAAGTGGTTTGTTTATAAGACTTGGGAAAGAGCCTGCTCCCTCAGAGACAGCTGACGTTCTCCACCGCCAGAGATAAAATGGAGTTCGAGGGGGAATCAGACATTCGAGACTGTCTCCTCCCCTGAGCTTGTTAACTTCCCTGACACGAACAAGTGTGGTATATAATGTGACAGAAGTGTGTCACTGTTTGGTAGATCTGCGAAGATCTCTTCACAGAGCAGGATATTCCTGAGTGCTCAGGAGTGGGTAGGCGGCGCTCAGAGCCGGTGTGCGCACTTTGACATACAGTTCACCTTCCAAAGCAGCAGCTCACCTGAGTGTGTGTCCCGGTGGCTTTAGTAAGGTCACAGTGAGGTAGCCGTTAGCACAGTTCACGATTGAGGGCACTTTTGTGGACTTGCTCTCCCTCTTGGCCCTAAACAATCTCCAATCCACTTCCTGCTTGAAAATGTATTGCATTTTTATTTATTTTGTATGAGTGTGTTTGTGTAGTGTTGTGGGGAAGGAAGGAGGGCATAAGGTCAGGAGACACATAGGGGAAGGCCTTCCTTCCCGTCATGTTGGTCCCCCAGGATTGACCTTAGGTTGTCCACCCTGGTGGCAAGCACCTTTACCCACTAAGGCATCTGCATGTCAGCAGCCCACTGGGTTCTGGGAATCAAACGCTGGCCATTAGGCTTGTGTGGCAAATGCTTTACCCCCTGAGCTGTCTCTCCTCCCTCATCTGTGTCATATGGAGTCTTTTAACATGTGAGCTTTATGAATGCTGTGATGTTTCTAGATCTACCTGTTACCTCATGACCCGGTGTTCCCTGTAAAAAGCCATCACATCAGGCCACTCATCACTCAGGGGATTGGGGTTCCGCCTTTTGGCAGAGAACACCCACTTAGGAGGTTTGGTGTGGACATGTTTTCCTAACTCACTGGCACAGAACTAGGAATGCATTGCTGGCCCAGAAGTTGAGCCCTCTAAGGATCCTCGTGGTTGCTTCCCAGTGGCCACATTGTGATAAACTTGTAAGAAAGACATTTATCAAGTTTTGGTATAGAACTTGGTGTTGGGTATGGTACAGTATCACCTGTGGTTATAAGCAGAACTTGCACAGCCTCCCTTCTATCTGAACATACACTCATGAGGGGCCACCTCTCGCCCCAGTTTCTGTCCACATAGTGGCCAGCAACAGATCGAACACAAAGCTGACCTGAGATGGTACCAAGCCGTCTCTGGCCCATCACTCTGGCATTCTGTGTGTGTGTGTGTGTGTGTGTGTGTATTGTATATATGTATTGTATGTCTGTGTATAACTGAGGTAACAGCTACTGAGTTGTCACCTGTCCTATCCTGTGCCGGCTAGCCATCTCCTTTAAAAGAAACAAAAAGAAAAGGCAGGCCACACAAAATCCATTTTGAAGAGACTGTTTGACATTGAGCAAACTGAAGAAGGGGGACCCAGTCCTGATGGGCTTGTGGCAGGGGAGAGGCTACCTGTTTAAGTGCTGGTGATACCTCGGAGGGGTCATCAAACCTTGGTGAAGTTAGGCAGTCTGGCTCTTCCATCTGCAAGTGGTTGACGGGACTTTCTCAGGGTCATCCTGCGTGCAGAACCGGGGGCTGTTGCTGGCCCGTGGAGTCTGTTTACTTAATGATGGCACGTTGACATGACGGGTCTATGATGATGTGATTATCTAGACAATGTGGGTCCTTGGAAAAGTTTTACTATCCAATTAGTGTCGATCAACCCATGGCGGGGCCGGTATACACTGGGTCAGAGGTCAGAGGTCAGAGGTCAGAGGTGAACATGCAAAAAGCAAATGAGCTTTTATTTTAGTTGTTGGGATTTCTGAATTTCATGTGTATAAGCATTGTTTTTTAAGTAAACCTTTTCTTTAGGGGGTGGGAATGAGATTAGTAGCTTAGCAGGAAACCTGCAAGGATGGTATAGTCTCTCCAGGCCAGTTAGTTCCCTCTGCTGTGACCAATGAGCATATTTTCATATAAAATGGAAAGTACAATTATTCCAAGGATGAATAAAAGGTGATTTTTAAATAACTTTTTGTGTTGTAGATTGTGTTGTGTGCACGTGTGTCTGTGTGTGGGCGTGTGCACATAAGTGGGGTGTGTGCACATGAGCGCAGGTGCTCACAGAGGCCAGAGGAACCTGGAGCCTGAGTTACAGATGGTTGCACGCCACCCAGTGCCAGTTCTGGGAACCAAACTTGGGTCCTCAGAAAGAGCAGCCAGTGTTTCCAACTGATGAGCCCTCTCTCCAGCCCTGTATATACGTATTTTATATATTGGAATATCCAGGGTCGTGTAAACATTTCTAGAGCACACAGAGTCTGGAGTGGGGGAAGCGTAAGAAGGTGTATGTGGGGGAGGGGGTGTCATGAGAACTTAGCTTTGATGATAGTGTCCCTGCTAATGTTTAGTCAGACATTTCTGTGGTGTTGGGTTTCTAGGTTTTTTTGCTGCCGTTCTTGGTTTGTTTTTTGTTTTGTTTTTTTGTTTATGTTTTTTTCTACCATTCAAACAGAGCCATGGGAAACCTCGGTGTGTGGTTTCTGTAGGATGGCACTCATGGTTTCTGCAGGATGGCACTCAGTAAAGTGTTTCCTAGAGCCAGGTGTGTGCATCTTCAATGTCGCTAACTTCCCAGATTGCCTTCCCACAGGAATTACAAAGATCCTGTCTGGTTTTCTGAAATGTTTGTGTAGCCATCAGATACGCAGGGTCTCCTTAGTTACAGAACACCGTTGGTGATGCTTAAAAACACAAGCCATCAAGATAGCAGGTGGGGTGGTACACACCATAATCCCATAGTCCCAGCACCAAGCAGGCTGTTGTAGGAGGACCTGGGGGCAAGTTGGGGCTACACAGGAAGATCCTGCCTTAAAACCTTCAAAAACAACAGGACGTGGTGCCTCGCACCTATAAGCACAGCATTTAGAAGGCCGAGGCAGGAGGATTGCCAGGAGTTCCAGGCAAGCCTGGACTACAGGATGAGAAGCTCTGTCTTAAAACATAAAACAAGGAAACAGGAGAGAGTCTTTTGTAGGTCTTTTGTTATACATTCATAGCTAGAAGCTTCCAAAGATGGCTGCCTTGTGCTGGATGCCTCTAGCTTTCCAGCAGCTGGGCTCCTTCCTCTCAGCTCAGTGATGTGGTTCCTGTCTTAAGAGAAGGCATCCAGGCTCTATGTCACTCAAGGGGCCACACTCCTCTCTTGGCTCAGCTTGGCAAAGGGCTATGTAGGCAGAATGGCATCTCTGGAAGCAGACGTAAGGATGACTGCCCTGGGCTTTTTCACACAGAGGAAGAATCTTGCAGGTTGTCAGGCTTCCTGCGGTCCTAAAGTCATCCCCAACCCTATTCAGTTTCTTACATGAGTACTTGTCACTTACGCAGCTGAGGCCTCCTGGTCTAGAGGTATCAGATGACAGCCGGAGATGATTAGAATTACACAGTTTCCTCCTGGTTGTAAAAGTATTCCAGCTTTGTGTTCTGTCTCGTGGTGTGTGTGTATTAGTATCTAAAAACTTAACTTGGTGGTGGAGAGGAAAGTGGGGTTTTTTTGCTTGTTTGTTTGTTTGTTTTGCTTTGTGCAATCGGAGAGGATAGCTTTAACTTGACACGGTTTCCTGATGGCATAGACCGCGTCTGTGCCGGAGGGTTGGGGCGAGGGTGGAGAGATGGAGGTGTCATCTCCTTTAGGGCAAGTGAGATTGCAGGCAAAGCACCTGAGCCCTCCTCTCACCCTGTGGTCTCATTGCAGGAAGAGAGGGCCGTGAGAGACCGGAACCTCCTCCAGGTTCAAGACCGGGAGCAGCCCATCCCGTGGAAGGTGCAGTTTAACCTAGGCAACAGCAGCCGACCCAGCAACCAGTGCCGCAACTCCGTTCAAGGGAAACACCTCATTACTGACGAGCTGGGTACGCTTCCCTCCCTGCACTCAAGGCCCAGAGACTCTGGGTTTGATAACCTTCCCTCCCAATGCTTTACTTCTTGCTAATCTCCAGGGATGCCCGTGTGTGTCTTCCATACTCCCTTCTCCATCCCAGGCTTCCTGCAGCATCTGGAAGCTTGGCTGAGCAACCTGACTCCTAGCAGTTCCCTCTGCCTACAGTGCCAGCCTTGGCCTCAGTCCCAGGCCACTGCCTACCACATACAGTCATGGTGTGTGTGTGTGTGTGTGTACCCCATGTCATGTATGTGGCGGTCAGAGGACAGCTTGTCAGAGTTGGTTTTTTTCCTTTCACCACGTGGATCCCAGGGATTGAACTCAGGTTGTCGGGCTTGTTGGCAAGCCCCTCTCCTGGCCGAGCCATCTTACCTGGCCTGTAAGTACCCTTTTAAAACAAAAGTTGAGTACAGAGCTGTTGCTTCATAAGGAAGTGCAGTTAGCTGACAGGTGGACTGGTGGCCTGTAGTCCAGGACTTGTGTCTACGGACTCAGAAAACAGGATGTTTTAGTGTTAGGTGCCAGTTTGTCATTGTCTTTTATCATAGCTACAAATGGTTCATTTAGGTCAGACAAAGACTCACACACTCCTTCAGTTAATAAAAAAAAAAAGCCAATACTCAATTTTTTAATCAATAAAAATACCGTAGGGGCTGCAGGTTTTACTTTACCTTAACAAATATGGGGGAAGTGGTTTAATAAAGAAAACTCGCAACTGTTGATACTGTTTAGCAATGAGGCGACACTGTGTTGCCAGGGTAACAGCACGGTTAAACAAGATAGCCAATTAGAGTCACAAACTTTTCAAAAGCTGGAAGTTAATTTCCCAAGTAAGACCAACACATTTGCCTGCCCTAGTCTCCCAGGACTCCGTGAGAATAACATCTTCAGAGCCGGAGCCGCTAAGCACCACTGCTTTCTCTGTGCCGCCCTGGCTGTCCTGGAGCTTGCTCTGTAGACTAGGCTGGCCTAGAACTTACAGAGATCTGGCCATCTCTCCTGGCCATCTCTAAAGGCGTGTGCCACCATTGCCTTGTGTATATGCGTCTTGAAACATCATGATGACCCATTTCTATGTATGGTTCTTCTCTCTCTCTCTCTCTCTCTCTCTCTCTCTCTCTCTCTCTCTCTCTCGTGTGTGTGTGTGTGTGTGTGTGTGTTTATCAGCTAAAAATAAAGAGATGGAAAAATGGGTGAGTGGCCAGGAACACTGACTGTTCATTCAAGAGGACGTGGTTTTGAGTCCCAGCATCCAGGAAAAGCAGCTCACTAACTGCCTATAACTTCCGCTTCCTGGGATCCAAGGCCGTCTTCTGACTTCTGCGGGAATCTGCACTCACATGCACACACACACAAAGTTAAAAATAAGAATAACTTCAAAACGTAAAAGGTAATTTTTGCATGATTCGTGATACATGGGGAAAGGCCTGGGTGAGCTCACTCTCCCCAGAAATTAGACCTGGTCCGGGGGAGGACCAGAGTTCAAAGCTGAGAGCTGGGAGTTGGCAATGTTAGGAAAAGGCCTGAGATGTTAGCTTCCAGCTTCCCAAAGGAAAGGACAGGTGTGTCAGCAGATAACATTGGGGTGCACAGTATTGTCCATCTCCTTGACACAGATGGAGTTGCTGTGTTGCTATCATCCGGGGTAGAATCCTGAGGAACGCACTGACTCTCTGGGAATTTCCTTTAGAAGCCCTGACAACACCATGAGTTGGGACATCTGGGAAGGAAGTGTCTCCCAGGACATCAGAGTGCTCATCTCTGCACCCCTGAGATGCAGCAGCAGAAACAACAGAAGCCACCAGCGCTCTGCGATGGGAATGGATCTCTCCTGGTCTCCCAAGTGTTGAGGGCCCTCTAGTGTCCCTGATCGTCAGTGTTCTGCCAGCTCCCACACAGACCTTGTTTTCCAGAGCAGTTCTAAAAAACAAGTTATCCTCCAACAGCCGCGCTCTCTGAGGACAGAGCCGGGGTGCTCAGACTGGCTGGTTGGGAACAGCTGCTGCACACCTGCGGGCCCCTGCACACACCCGAGGGGCCCCCTATACACGCCAGAAGGCCCCTGCACACACCCAAGGGGGCCCCCTATACACGCCAGAAGGCCCCTGCACACACCCGAGGGGCCCCCCCATACATGCCAGAAGGCCCCTGCACACACCCGAGGGGCCCCCCATACACACCAGAAGGCCCCTGCATACACCTTAGGGTCTACACATGCACCTGAGGGCCTCTGCACCTACCTGAGGGCCTAAATGGCCACTGGGGGCGTGTTTGAGGTTGGGTGATGGCCCTTACAGATTTTTCTGTCCTGCTCCTCCAGGGCAGGGAACTGTCTGCCTAGAAGCCCTGAGCAGTTAAGTAGTCCCAGTGAGGAAGGCTGGCTGAGGCTGGATGCGCGTATCTGTGTGATGGATTCTCGGTTGTGGAGCGAATTAGTTTTTTTCTCTTTTTTTGAGGTTTTGAGAACATCCCTAACTCTAGGGGCTGTGTTTCCCCGTTTGTGTGCGAACACCGGAAGCAGAGCCATGAAGGTCGACTGCGGCCTCCTGTTTTAACAGTCCCTTCAAATAACCACAACATATAACACATAACCACAACAGCAACTGGGCATCAAAAGCCACGCACTTGCTTTTTAAACCTGCAAAGCACCCGTTTTTGTGAATGGGTGCCTCGTTTCCTGACTTGAACTTTTTAAAAGAGGCCCAGGTGACCTTTCACCTGGTGCCATGCTTACGTTAGCACCAGACATGTTACTTCCACATCTGGTCCTGATGCTCAGTGTGCCCTGCCTCCTGTCTGCCTTCTTCATCCTCAGACGGAGGACAGGCGGCTAGTTGACTGCTGAACTTTTGTCTCTGTTTTCAGGCTATGTCTGCGAGAGGAAAGACCTGCTGGCAAACGGCTGTTGCGATGTCAGTGTCCCCAGCACAAAGCAGCACTGCTGTGATGGGTGCCTGGCCAACGGCTGCTGTGAAGCCTACGAGTACTGCGTCTCCTGCTGTCTGCAGCCCAGCAAGGTACGGGCTCCATCCCTTGTCTTCTGTGAATTTTAAGGGGAGAGCTAGGCACCTCTTTCAGTGTTCTGTAGGTGCAGTGGCCACTCCTGAGAGAGGAGCGTGCGCGCGCGTGCGTGCGTGCGTGCGTGCGTGTGTGTGTGTGTGTGTGTGTGTTTCCTGCTTCACGCCTCCTTTGCAGAGAGGATAGTGCTACTGCTAACCAAGTAGCTGGTGAATGAGAGAGGTTGGCCTCCTCCTTGCCCTCCCAGTGGGCTGGCTTGGCCAGCAGTTACTAGTTACTACCAGTACTGAATGCCTTGTTTCCATAGCAACTTCTCCTGGAACGCTTCCTCAACCGGGCGGCTGTGGCCTTCCAGAACCTCTTCATGGCAGTCGAGGACCACTTCGAACTCTGCTTGGCCAAATGCAGGACCTCCTCCCAGGTCAGAAGTGGTGCTGGGGTTACAGGAGGGAGCCAGAGCTGGAGAACACGGGCTGATCGATCTGGGGAGAGCCAGGGCGGAAAGGGGCTTCACTGACATGTACTGCAGTGTTAGGGGTGAGAAGGTTACATCCGGTACCAGTGAGAGGAGGCAGTCACTTGTCTGGGGCAGAGTTGTGGTTCACTTCAGGATCCAAGGGGCTAGAAGGTGGATATTCAGGCACAGGAATCTGAGGCTCCTAGGGTGAGCACACACTGCCTGCCATTGAGAGTTCTGTTCTCATAGCAGAGAGTGGCCCCCCCCCCCAGGGCCTCTGCCCCCATCACCACCCCCATCTCTGTTTATCTTCCCTTTGACATTTGTCCTGGGCTCAGGGCCACACAGATGTAAGTCAGAGGACCACTTGGGAGGGTCCGTTCTCCCCACTACACCGTGTGGATCCTGTGGGCCAAGCCTTGGCGGCAAGCACCTCTCCGTGCTAAGCCATCTTGCCTACTCAGTCTTTCTGGCTAGGCACTTGTTTCTGCCATTTCTCAGACAACCACAAGTCTCACACAAGCTCACTCCTCAGGATAGACTTCAGCTCTGGTCTCGCTCACCCCCTTTCCCATCTTTGGTTTACTTGAGATTGAGAACCTCGTGTGGGTCAGGATAGAGGAGAGCTCAGAGAATGTGAAGTTCCACTGATCTCAATGAGGGGGTTTCTCAGGTGAGTGGGCGGGAAGGGAAGTTGACTCACTTGCTCTTCCTGACTTGGTTCCTGCAGCTGACTGAGCCGGAAGTTGTGCAAATAGAGATAGTTCTCAGTGGGCACTTGGTTCGCATGCTCGGGGCCCAGGCTGCGAGTCTTTTAAGTGGAATTAATATGGTGCGTGGCTTTGGTAGTGGCTGATAAATGAGTTCGAGGCCAGCCAAAGCCTCAGATTGCTTGTATGAGAAGAAATTACTGGGGGGAGGGGAGGAGTCTATCATTGGTGGGGGACGGGGCATTGCCTGGGCTTAACCTCATTTGCTGTGCCCAGCCAGGGCGATCTAGGGGAGGATGCTTGGTCTGTGTGCAGGCCCTCAGCGCATGACTGCCATTTGATGTGTTAGGTCCCGGTGTTAGGACTCCGCCAGGGACCGGGTCTGTCCGACCACGGGATCAGTCAGAGGCCGATCCCACTGCTCCACTGTGTCTCCGCCTGTCTCAGATTTATCTTGTTTGTTTGTTCTTTTCATATTTACTAGTGGGGGCGGGGCACGCCACCACATGCACTCGGAGGTCAGGGGACGACGTATGTCTCGCTTCTCATTCTCCTCTGTGGGCTCTGGGGATGGAGCTGAGGTCCTCAGGCTTGGGAGCATGCATGGTGTTAGCCCCTGGCCATCTCATCTGTCCTCGTTTCCTTGTTTGAGATGGGGGCGCTCACATAGTCAGGCTGGCCTCAGGTTCACCGTGCTGCTGAGATTCTGGAGTCACAGATGTGTTCCACTCTACCCAGGTTTACGAGCTGCTGTGGCTCAAACCTGGGGCTTTGTGCATCTTAAGCAAGCACTCTGCCCGCTACGCCACATCCCTAGGCCCTGTTTCAGATGGATTGAATAGTCTCAGAATGCCCAGCGGGGCTGTTCAGAAGCTAGAGGTTGGGCAAGGGACTCTGTAGCTGTCACTGCAGCTGACTAACGTGCTCCTGTCTCCCTTCGCCAACAGAGCGTGCAACATGAGAACACGTACCGCGACCCCATAGCCAAGTACTGCTACGGAGAGAGCCCACCTGAACTCTTCCCTGCGTGAGGCCTGATGGAGGTACACGCCCAGAACCAGTCTGGTCCCCTGAAGTAATGAAGGAGAAAGCCACACAAGGATGCTCGACCTTGACCATGTCTTGTGGCTTCGGGTGTCTCCGGCTCCCTCACCGACAGCTGGAGCAGATGGGCGGAGCCATTCTATAGAGCAGGCTGGACGAGGTCCTGGCACCTTGCAGGGCCCTGGGACTGCTGGTCAGAGGCCAGGCGCCTGTTTTAACCTTACGTTGTAGTCATTTATTGACTTTTCAGAGTGGTGGAAGGTGCGGTTTTCTGTGCAGGTCACCTTTGCCTGTCCAGATGAATACATTGGAGGAGGTGACGGTTGCTCTCGCTTCCCGAGCATCACAAGTGACCACATGCTCCGTGAAAGTTTGTCTCCAGGAGTGTGGGGTGTGGGTGTACAGACTCAGTTCTGGTTCTGTTTTAACATCTGACCAGCAGGCCTTGAATCCATATCCCAAGATTCAGGGGTGCCTAAAGCCTCAGGCGGGGGGGGGGGGGGGTGCTGGTCCCACCGAGCCTTTGGAGAGCTGCCTCGGTGTGCTCATATACTGAAATGGGAGATGGGAAACCTGAATCCCTGGCTGACTCTCCCAGTGGAGTTTGCCATCACTGTGTCTCCTTGAAACCCCTCAGCCTCGAGAGGGGCAGGGGAGCCTTTCCGTTGTCTGTCACAGAAGCCAGTGGGGACAGGCAAATGTGTGCGTGTGCAGCAGCCGTTCATTCTTGGCTACTCTCCGCTCCCGGTGTTGTTTATAAAGAAAAGCCCAGCTCTTACTCCAACTTATAGCAAATTTCACATCCACCGTCAGTGGGAAATGAATGGGGAAGCTACAGTCCTGAGAGCATCCCAAAGGCAGGTCCGTGTCCAGTGCTTGCAGGACGGTTGTTACCAGTGGCTGAAACAGAGGTTTTAAGCCTAAGGTGAAGACACCTCTTCCTGCACTCCCCCATCTCGTTTTCTGGCCAGCCAGTAACACATGCTTCCTTCCCAGACCCTTCACCCACATTTACGGTGGGCCATGGTGTTTTGTGGGTTGACCTGGGACCAGCCTTGAGTCTCAAGATTTCCTGTCGGTGGCCTTGTGGAGCCTGTCTTACAGCTGTGTGCACCTTCACGATGAATTTCCTTCAGTTCTTCCCTGCTTCCTCTGGCTGTTCACTCGGAATTGTGACAGACTGGTGGGCAGCTGCTCTCTTATTTTGCCTTGCCACGCTGGGATCAAACCCAGGACTTTGTATGTGATTGGCAGACTCGCTGTTACTGAGCCACAGCCCTGGCCAGGGAGTCGATTTTTAGCGTCAGATCCCAGTGATTCTTTTCTGTTTGCTCTGGACTTCTCGGTTTGTTGACTCAAACTTCGTGAAAGAACTGGGTGATCCTGCACGTTCTGGCACATACTGGAATGTTCTGGCATGTTCTGACATGTGGTATGTGTTTGACACCAGCCTTGAACTCCTAACTCTCCTCCCCTGGGAGGAATCCACCTTTGGTTGGCAGTGTTGTTGGTTGGCCTTGCCCCTGAGTTCAGATTTAGAGTGCTGACCCAGGTTTACTATGAACAGTTGTGCCTATTGCCAGCTCTCCCCGGTTGGCACCAGAAAGACATGTTGTGTACATCCGTTGTGATCAAGAATCCAGTCTGTGCCGGGCGGTGGTGGCGCACACTTTTGATCCCAGCACTTGGGAGGCAGAGGCTGGTGGATTTCTGAGTTCGAGGCCAGCCTGGTCTACAGAGTGAGTTCCAGGACAGCCAGGACTGCACAGAGAAACCCTGTCTCGAAAAAACAAAAAGAAAAAGAGTGCATGGCCAAAATGGCGGGGTTCTAAAGGGAGGAGCGTCTAGGGGAAGGGAAACCGGAGATGGGGCTGAGGCAGGGGCTGAGTGAGGAGATCCAGAGGGAGTGATGGAGGAAGCCTGGAGGCCGGTGATGTGTGATGTGTGCACTAGGCTAACAAGCTCCATAGCTAGCCTTTTGTCCTGAGGTAGGTTGGTTTGTTTTGTTTTTTGGACCTGACACTTGATAAAATAATCACATAACACTAAAAATCACATAGCCTAGAGATAAACACCAGCTACTTTCTCCTTCCTCTCACTTTCCAGGTGGAAACCAAAAACAAAGGCAGGCTTCTTCCTTGGAAACAATGTCTGTGGGGCTGTTATCGGCAGGCCTGTCTCTCCCTCTCCCTCTCCCTCTCTCCCTCTCTCCCTCTCTCCCTCTCCCTCTCCCTCTCCCTCCCTCTCCCCCCCCCCCCCCCCCTCCCCTCCTCTTAGAACTTAGAACTGGCATGGCCGAGGTCTAGAACTGGGGCTGTCTGTGACACCAACGTCTCATTTAACTTGTCAGTGGGTCACAAACTTCCCGCTCATTCCGCAGACAAGTTTCTGCTGGGTAGATGGTGAGCTCCCTAGGTATGCATCGCACGGGGTTACTGCACTGTGCCTTGAGGCAGGAGTGTGCTGTCACATGAGCCTGTCCTGCGGGGATCACGGTGTAATTTAATCAGCACTTCAGCATGGTATCTCTCCAGGGTGGGGAGATAATGAAGTCGGCTGCTCAGTGCTGGGAGTTCTCGGTTCAGCCTTGGGCACAGCGGTGACCTCAGCACTGACAGCATCCTTGGTGTGACCGTCCTAGCCACCGAGGGCCAGTGAGGGAGCAGCATCGTGAACTCCCATCCCTTTAGGGACAAGTAGTGTCTTCCCTATTCCAGCTGCGAAGATAGTATTTCCAGACACTGACCTCACTGAGGGTCAGGGGTCAGGGAGGGACTGCCCCTGTGTTACAAACCACTGCCCTAACTGTTAGAAAGATAGGATTGTAAACATGAGCCAATTGCTTGAGTGTCACAGTTAACTGAGAAGAAGCTGGGCTGAGGTTTAAATTCCAGGAGGCTAAGGGTGGAAGATAGAGAGTTTGAGGCTAGCCTGAGATACAGAGAGACAACCCCCCCCCCAAAGCTAAAAAAGGGAGAGGGCGGGAAAGGGCAGCAAGAGAGAGATACAGTTATTTTGGGCTTCATTTCAAAATGTTCTGTAGTAACCAGTAGGAAGAAAGATAAAATAAATGGTCAATCAAAACATGGGGTGGGGTCTAGCTCACTGAGTTAATACACACAAACCGATACCTGTGTTAGTGGGTATCAAAATAGACGTAGAGCCAGGCATGGTGGCACGTGGTTCAATTTCTGGCACTCGGAAGGCTGGACGGGAGAATCCAGGTCCAAGAACAGCTTGGGTTTCATACTAAGACCTGTCTGAAACACAAAATTGTTTTTTTTTTTTAAAACACAAAATTGTTTTTAAAGTTTAATAAAATATTTTCTCAATTAGATGTTGGTGATTCGGATGATAAATGTGACGATCTATGCATTGTCCCATGCGTGTCCCATGCATTGGCCATGTGTGTGTCTGTGTACAAGTGTGTGAGTCACAGTGCATGCGCAGTTGTGTACTGTGGAAGAAATAGTGGTCTGGAATCTGAACAGCATCCTGACCCACCTGACAGGAGCCCGGGCATCCATGAACTTGGACAAACTCGTCTTTCTGGATTTGGCTTCTTCTTGTCTTTATCAATGAGTGTTTGCTAACACATCCATTGGTCCCACATCCTGGCTTTGACCATCGGGAGATCCCAGCACTCAGGTAAACAGGACGAGAGCCCTGTCTCTTCATTGCTCACTGTGGACTGCACTCCCCACAGGGGAGGGGGCCACCAGCCGTCAGGACCCCAGCTTTCCTCAGAGCATCTCCTCTCCCAAGCATCCGGAGATTGATCAAAGTCGGACAGACATTCTCTTCATCTTCCCTCTCTTGATTTTCTTGGGTACCATTTGCGGTCATGCTTGCTGCCCTGTACCTGTGGAGACCACTGCTGTGACTCCTTGGACGCACAGAGCTCTGTGAGTGCAGACGCCATTCAAGCAGCACTGAGGTACTTACTCAGTGGCCTTGAGCTGAGATGCCCGGAGCATGTCAGATTTCCCAAGCAGGACTTCTCCAGACATCTCTGGGCGTATGGGTGTCTCTTCTTACAAGGTAGAAACCCTAAAAATGAGCCTTCAAGATTAAATTGGACCCTTTAGTTCCTGGTCTCAGAGGATACCCACAGCTGCAATGGGAAGATTTGCCACATTTTATGTCTAAATGTATACTTTATATTTGTTCATAAATAAAAATAGAATCCTGATACATGCTGTTTTACAGTACCGTGTTTCTGCCAGGTTGTCTTTATGCAGTTAGAGCCAACCCCTCCCAGATCTTATGTTCAGACAGTCTTTCCTGGAGAAGTGACAGCCTTTCACAATGGCTCTCCTGTCAGATCTGCATTCTTATCCCTTTCTCTTCTTCTGAGCTTACCCATGTTTTTCACAGATAGGTTCCAGGCATTTTACAAGGCCAGAGCTGAGCTGTATCCAGCCATCTTTGGGGACTGGCTCCATTGTCCCCAAAATGCTGACGAGTCACAGATTCTCCATATCTCTTGGGCATATTGTTGGTTCTGCAAAAAATCACTAATGCGCATAAAAGGATAAGAAGCCCTGTCCCCAGAGGCCTTGCAGGTGTGGCTGCTGTTTCACGCGTGCATCAGTAGGTGGCAGAGAGGAGAGAGGCTCTGTCTAAGTTCAACGTTCTGACTTGTGAACATCTGAATGATCAGTAGCCTAACGTTCCCTGATAAAAGTGAGCCTCAGACGACCACCAGTCCAGTGCCACAGGAGTGAGCCCGAGATAGACACCCTCACATGGGGCCACTTGAGCAGGTGAGGAAGGAGCAAGCCTGAGATGACCACCAGATTGGTGGTCTAGCCTGAGGTCACTAGTCTGGTCCCACTCAGGCCCTGGGGTTGGGGATAGGAAGTCCATGCTTGAGATGCCCCCCTGCCTGGTGCCATAATACACAAGTGAGATATAGCAGTCCTGAGACCGCTCCTGAGATGACCCCAGACACTCAGAGACCCCAGACACCTCTAAGAGGAACAAGTGGTGGAGAAATGAATGAGAAAGAGAAACAGAAGGATGTGGGCACAACAAGAAGCAGAACTGGAGACTTAAGGGTAGCAAGGAAGAGCTTGATTTGAATGAATGATGTTGGCTGGGGATGCCACCTGGGACCATGTCTGGGTCCATGGCCCTGCAATCACATTGGTCTGCTACCACCAGTGGCCAGGCAGACGTCCCTGGACTGATCTGCTCTCTGGGGACGTATTGATGTCTGAGGACTGTCCAGAACTGGCCCCACCCCTCACATGATCATTATGGGAGAGCTGGCCCTGTCAGGGGGATATGGGAGTAGGAAAGCTGACCCTGCCCTTAGCCAGCTGCGGTACTTGGGAGAGCAGGCCCACACATAGTGGGAGTTGTGGGTGAGCCACAAGGGTATGCGCGTAGGAGAGCTGACCCTGCCACTTTCTTCCTGTGGTGGCATGGGTGAGGGACAGGTCCCCTCCCCTCCTTTTTGCTCTCACCACCTGAGGCAGGGAGGAGTGCTGGCCCTGCCCACGGGAGAGCTGGCCCATCAACTTTTTTGTGGTGTGGCAACTTGGGCGAGAGAGAGACATCCTCCCCTACCCTCACCCCTTGCCAACTGTGGGGCAGGAGAGCTGGGAGACCCGGCCCTGTCCCTCACTAGCTGCATGGCTCAGAAAAGCGAGCCCTGGGCAGCAAGGTAGAGCTGGCCCTGATTGTAGGGGTGGCTGACTGGTCGGCCCTGAGCAAGAGAGCCAGTAGACTGACCAGCTCAGCTACTTCTCAGGCCCAGATCCAGGGCTTTGACTTGACTCCCCCCATATCTACCCTCATCAGTGGACTGCTGGAGGGCACAAAGGGGTCCGTCCTACAGATCCAAACTACAGGATCAGGATCTCCATGACACAGAGCAACAACAGGCTATCTGTGATAGAGTAACAGAAGTCAGAGACCTTGTGCCGGACCAATGACTCATTGCTGTGAACATTTGCAAGCCAAGAAGTGTGGACAAGACGGTATAGTGTGTGACACATTGCGACACACCGCAGCTCCTACGAAGAGTTTTTTTTTTCTCTGCTGGGGGGAGGGGATGTTGCAAAGGTGGAAGGCAGGTATGAGGAGGGGAGATGAGTGGGGACTGGGGTGCGTGACGTGAAGGTCACAAAGAACCGATAAAGAGTTTTAAAAGAATGAAAACAATGGTGCTGGTGTGATGGTTCTTGCTTGCTGCTTTTCCGGAGGACCTGGGTTCGATTCTCAGCACCCACATGGCTGCTCACAACCATCTGTAAGTCCATCGGGTCCCACGTGTACTAGGCACGCAGGTGGTAAACCTACAAACCTGTAGAGAAAACATCATACAGAGAAAAAGTAATCTTTGAAATTTTAAAATCAGAAAGGCCCACGGAAGACTCCGGGGACCAGCATCTTCATGATTAGACAGCGAGGGGAAAGCAGGTCCATGCCGGGGGCAGCGCACGTCCGACTCTCTTCAGTAAAAGCCTCATCCACACGGTGGTTTTTAGAAAGCTTCAGAGAGGGACTTCAGTGGGAAGGTGTCCCTAAAAGTTCCATGGCAGGAGCTGTGCCGCCTCCCATCGGCACACGCAGCTCCCCTCCCCCATACTGAACACAAATCTTCCTAGTGGGTGTGGATCTGGACGGCCCTTCAGGTCAAGCTCCTTGGGCTCCCGTCCACGGCATCCAAACCTGACTGGATGCCCCCCCCCCCCCGCCCCCCGAAGTCTGTGCTTAGCGCCAACCCAAGACAAATAGTCTCGAGGCAGCTCACCAGTTGGTTCGGCTGATTTATTTGACACAAATAAGCTCGCTGACCTGATTTAGCATTGCAGGGGACCACGGACCGAGTCAGGCGTGATCTTTTAAGGACTTTGCTTTTGGCTGCAGCCAACACGACTCGCTCCGTGCTGGTGGCACGCATGCTGACAGTTGCCGACTTTGCCACTTGGTGGCGCCAGTTGCATAGGTTTTTCTAGCCCTGATGTGAGCTTGGTGTTGATTGTGGTTCAGACTTCCCCAGGATGCCCCCAAAACAATGACTATGGGTAGAGAGCCATCTGGTGGGGCAACAAATCAGGACTCCTTCCTAGGCCTGCCATTTTTGGGGACCAGGACCCTCAGGGAGGAGAAAATAAACCTAGTGCTGGCAATGAGTCCCTTAGCACCCCCTTCTCAGCCTCGGTCCCGGCCAAGACAGAACATAGGTGGATCTTCTTAGCCATCCTTCGGTGCCAGCGATCAGGAGCGTGAAGGGACCACTCACACTACCCTTTCTCTGAGGTGCTCACCCCTTTGATCTCATAGTCAGAAAAAGATACCAACGCTCTGGTTCTTCTTGGCTCAAGGTCACAAGCAACTGTGCCTGGTGGGAATTCCAGACCAGGTGTCTCCAGATCCCTCTAGAGGGCACACCGTGAGCATGCTTGTGTGACATGGTGCTAAATAAACTGCTTATGACTCACATGCCACCCACCCTCCTGACCTAGGCCGGTCATCTCATCTCTGTTTTATGAACACAAAATGCAGGGAAGATTTGCACTCTCTTCCTGGCTTTAGTATGGTGGGGGTTGGGGGGAGGGTACCCTCCACTGTGAAGAGAACTTCCTGTCCCTGCTGTGTGGAAAGTGGGGGTCCTCAGTGGGTTCCCTGGGAGTAGCAGGTTAGGTGTTTGCCCTGAAATTTGTTCTTTGGCCTGGGTTTGGTTGTTTAAGCAAAAGTTTAGACTTTTTTTTAAAAAGACTTATTATTATTTTTATTTATGTATATGTATGTGATATGAGTGTGTGAGGGCAGGTTTTCATGGAGGCTAGAGGCATTGGAGGCCCTGGAGATGGAGTCCCAGGCAGTTTCCAGCCACCTGACATAGGTGCTAGGACTTGAACCTGGGTTCTCTGCCACTCTTTTTTTTTTCTTCTTCTTTTCTTTTTTTTAAAGATTTATTTACTTATTTCATGTATGTGGGTACACTGTTGCTGTCTTCAGACACACCAGAAGTGGACGTAGGATCCCTATTACAGATGGTTGTAAGACAGACGGTTGCTGGGAATTGAACTCAGGACTCAGGAAGAGCAGTCAGTGCTCTTAACAGCTGAGCCATCACTCCAGCCCTCCTTTTTGGTCAGAAAGGGATTTGGGAGAATGTCCTAGAAGGGGAACTTAGCATTTTAGGGTGGTGGGGGGAGAGAGAGAGAGAGAGAGAGAGAGAGAGAGAGAGAGAGAGAGAGGAGCTTTCATATACAAACAGGGAGGGAGGGAGGGAAAGAGAGAGAAAGAGACAGAAGCAGGTGCTACCATACACAAATGGGGAGGAAGGAAGGGAAGGAAGGAAGGAGAGAGAAAGAGAGAGAGAGAGAGAGAGAGAGAGAGAGAGAGAGAGAGAGGACCTACCATACACAAAGGAGAGGGAGAGAGACAGAGGCAGGTGCTACCATACACAAACAGGGAGGAAGGAAGGAAGGAGAGTTAGATAGATAGATAGATAGATAGATAGATAGATAGATAGATAGATAGATAGACAGAGAGAGAGAGAGAGACAGAGAGAGACAGAGAAAGAGAGAGACAGAGAAAGAGAGAGACAGAGAAAGAGAGAGACAGAGACAGAGAGAAGAGAAGAGCTACCATACACAGAAGGACTACCATGAGAAGGCACAGAGAAAAGATGACCAACTGCAAGTCATGGAAAGGGGCCACAGGAGAAGGCAGCCTACAACTGTCTCCATCTAAGAGCTGTGGGAAGATAACTCTGCCATGTGAACGGCCCAGTCCATATGGCGCTCTGCCGTGGCGGCGCTGGCTACCCAATGCTCAGCCTTCAGAAGGGCCAACTTCTGGGTCGATCTCAAATTCAGAGAAAAGCTACCTCCTTAGTTTCCCTGGCTCTGCTGTGTCTCTGCATACCTTGGCCTGAGGGTCTTTCTGTGAATGGTTTAAACAGTGACATCTCGGGTCTTTCTTCCGTTGGACATGGCTCACAGGACCTGGAAAGGATTGACCTAAGCCAGTCGTGTTGAACTGGAGGGAGATCCCCCAGTGCAGCATTCAGTCATGTCTGGAGGCTTTTGATTACATGTCTTTATGTGTCTGTATGTATGTGGACGTGCGTGTGTCATGGAATTCTTGTGGATGCCAGGGGACAACTTGCAGTAGGTTGTCATCTGCCGCTGTGTGGGTCCCAAGGATCGAATTCAGCTCCTCAAGCTTGACCGCAAACCCCTTTACCTGCTGAACCATCTAGCCAGCCCTGAAAAAGTCTTATAACTACCAAGGAATATGTGTTCAGGGGTGCCACTCTGGCTGAAGGTGGAAGACACACTGGTCCCCAGCATCTCCCAGTGCTCAGACCAGCCTCGCCCCCAAGAACTTGGGTCCAAGAAGCCCTAGGATATGTTCTGGGACTCCAAGTGAGTGTGCCCTAGGGACTTGTTCTGGAGTCCCTCTGTTGTTGGACATTTGGATCCCTTTTGCTTTGGACTGCCATGAGTCACGTTGCTTTGATATTCATGTGGTTACATGTGGGCTTTTCCTGAGGATCCTTAGCAGTGGGATTACTGGGTCTGACTTAGCTACTCCGTGTTTCTGTTTTGGGAGAGATGCCAGACTTCCAGAGTCATTCTGTTCTTCGTAACTGTAGCTCAGATTGGCTTTAAAATTGCCAAGTAGTGGAGGCTGGATTTGAACCCCTGA